CACAGAACCCCAGCTGCCTTTGGATTTTAATTAAGAAGGACCATGAAACCCTGTCATATGCTTTGGCCATATCCAATTTTAACACAATATCCCTATTACCAAGTTGCATCCCATGACATAACTCTTGAGTGATAAGAATATTTTCAGATATAGATCGCCCTTGAATAAACCCAGATTGTGATGAAGATATCACATGAGGAAGTATTCCAGCAAGCCTAGAAGCCATTACCTTAGAAATGATTTTGCTGCTGAAGTTACATAGACTAATGGGTCTAAAGTCAACAAATGTGTTAAGGCTGTCCACTTTTGGAAGTAGGACAATGGCAGTGTGAGCTATCCCTTTAGTCATGTAATCCCCTTTGAAGAAACCACAAACCATAGCAAAAATCTCCAAGTGTATAATGTCCCAGCATTTTTGGAAGAAATGGCCAGTGAAGCCATCCGGACCTGCAGCACTGTTAGGGTTTAAAGAGAACACTGCATCCTTTACCTCTTCCAAGGAAGGAGAGGCCACAAGCTGTTGATTGTCTTCATCAGTGATCTTGGGAGAGATACAGGCTAAAGAAGAATAATCAATTGTGCCTCTTGATTCCTCAGAAAAGAGCTTTTGAAAGAAATCAATAGCCTGGCTAGAAATCTGTTGATGATCCTCAATCCAATGGCCATCCTGCCCTTTGATTTTATGTATGTAGAGCTTCCTTCTTCTGTCCTTGACCAAAGAGTGAAAATACTTGGAATTTCTGTCCCCTCCTTCAATCCATTGGATATGAGCTTTTTGTTTCCAAAACATTTCCTCAAGGTGCAACTGATGAGTATATTGAGTTGTAATAGCTTTTAGCTTGAGCAGATTCTTATCACTGTCTTCCTGTTGGTATACTTCCTCAGCCTGTTGATGATGATGTATTTAGATTGTAATAGGGACTTTAGGCATCCCCCAATATTCAATATAATTTTTCTTTTTAGAAATATTGTTAAAACCGAGTTCTTGAGATTTCCAATAAAGTTGTGATATTTCTTTAAGTGGTTTGATGCTTGAAGACTTAATCAAATTCTGTGATATGGAAATTGGATATCTTGATCGGAAATGTCATAGACAAGTAAGGATTTCTCGAAGCAGATGAAAATCCTCTGATCCAAAACACTACATGTTAACCGGATGTCTCGCTACAACCCGCTGAAGGCTAAGTCATTCAAATCGGAAGACTAGTGCGGATCTCTTTCTCACCCGGAAGTCTGTGAATGACTCTTCCGGATTTGTCAGCGAAAGAACCGGATGCCTCAAGAAAAGACCGGAACTCTCAAGCGGACAAGTCAGAAAAGACTTAGAAAAATTCTAAGTCTTGAATGAAGAAATTCTACCCGTTGGTAAGGAAAAATCAATCTCTTGATTTTCAACGGCTAGATTGAAGATAATTAAGCTGATTCAAGAACAAATGACTTGAAGACAAAGTCTGGACCCCTCAAATTAAAGAGCTCGTCCAGAATTCCTAAACAAGCACTAGAAGACAAACTGAGTAAAGAGAAAGTCCAAAATTCTTGAACAACAGCTAGAAGACGGATTCTGTGGAAAAAGGAATCCCTCCTCAAAGAATTGGGTATGTCCAAACACCCACTCCAATGAGGAATCCTCAATCACAATCTTCATTCAAAATTGAAGCCAGCAAATGCAACAGATAATCTATTTGATTCAACGGATAGATCATCTAATCCAGCTATAAATAGCAACCTTGGAAGACTGGAGAAGACATGATGAGATAGACAAACACAACGAAGCAATCTCTACCAACAAAGCTATCTCATTCACAGTTAGCCCAAAAAGCTTGATAAAGAGAGATTTCTAAAACTCCTTATCCAGAAGCAAACTTCTCCTCCTTCCAAAGAGCTATAGTGTAAACACTTGAAGGTTTCCTTGCCTCAAGTACCACACCACGTTGAAGGATATAACTTTTGATCAAACTTCTTGATTAAAAGGGGGTAGATCAACTTTCTCACAAGTTGATCTTGCAGGTCCTATTGTTCGGATCTTGCAGTTGTTGAAGAAGCGTGACCTTCGAAGGAACAACAAAGCCAGCA